AATAGAAATTAATCTTCATTATTTACAAACAACCTCCACCAATAAATTAACAACTTCTTGGCAAGATTAAATTATATACAATTAGCAATGCAAAGTAAGTGAATGCCAAAAAATACTTGTAATTTGTTACTCGCTCAAAATTATGCTAGATCAAATTTAAACTAGTGAGCCATTCGATTTTCCTGTTGGATTTGTTGAATTAACGCCAAATCTTCTGGCGACGGCTCGTAGATGCGACCGATGATGACCTGCAGAAGAACATTGTTTATTTGAAGTAAGTTAAGATAAGTCAGATTCTAAGAATACACAGGATGTCAAAAAGTCTCCATACACCAATAACGATAATCAACTCTCTATTTTTCATCGCAGGATTACTCTAAAATAATTATGACTGATCATTATTCTGACTAATCGCTTACTTCTAAGCGCTTTTTACGCCATTGACAGCCATTTTCTACCCAATAAAGGCCTCAAAAAAGTCAGAAAATTAGTTATTTGCATAACGACTCCCTTACAAGCTTGTGTGACACTTGTTGAGACAGCTTGAGCAATCGCAAGTTTTTTGAAACCGCTCAAAGTATTACGAAGTTAAGTTAAGCCTTCAAAAGTAGAACCATGAATTTTCAGCCTTCTAACATGATTACTTTACGAGAAATACTGAATTTTTGCCAATTTTTGCAAGAAGACTCAGAATAGGGGAGCTTGATTCATGCTCACGAAGTAGCTTTTGTGGAAGACTGAGAATGTAAAAGTGTACTTTTAGAGGCTTGTATTTTTCTTAACTTCTATTTAAATAAAGATTACGCCGGCTGTATATGTTAATGTCTTGAATGTACGTAAGTGAGCAATTACGATATTCGTAGAATTTTTTCTTATCAAGTTCCAATTTTTTCTGGATTTTTTAGGTACTTGGATTTTTGGCTTTTGCCTACAAACTCATATACATGAATCAAAGCTTTTGCTTGAAACATCTAATACTTACTTTGGTTTATCGAATAGTGCCCCGAAACCCATTTTCGATACAAAAATTTATGACAGTTTTTTCGGTTTTCTTACATGTTTGGTGCAAGATTTATGCACCAATCTAGATATCATGCATCATACTGAATCTCACCTTA